ATATGTCAAATTCTTTGGTGTACTGATGGACAAGTACCTTTCCTGGAAGTTTCATATTTCTGAACTTACTAAGAAACTCTCAAGAACATCTGGGATCTTCTCTAAAATTAGACATCTCCTTCCCCTTGACATATTGAAAAAATTTTACTTTCCCATGTTCTCTTCCTTTCTGAGTTATGGTTTATCAACTTGGGGTATCTCCAATGATACCTATCTTGAACCACTCTTCTTATTTGCAGAAAAAAGTACTCCCGTCTATTTCCTTCCAGTCCTTCTTCCCTCCCTCGACACTTAGCTTTTTTTCCTTAAGAATTCTAAAACTAAAACACATAATTCACCATGATATACTCAGATTTGTGTATAAGTCTCTCAATGGTCTCTCACCTTCTCACTTTCACAACTACTATCAGCTTAGTAGCACTGTTCATAGTCATGAAACTCATCAGGCAGCTAGAGGTGTCCTTTTTCAATCTATAAGAAATACATTTTTCTATGGTGTCAGGTCTATAAAGTATTTTGGTGCTAAACTTTGGAACGGCATACCCATTTTCATTAAAATGTCAGTTTTGTTTAATATTTTCAAGTCAAAAACGAAAGAATTTCTTGTAAATGGTTATGGTCTTTAATTCTACATCTAAAATTACGAATAATTCTTTAATATCTCTCTTAAAGAACATCTTCTGGTCTTGTTCTCTTTTCTTTTAAAATAAATTTGTCTATGTTTTTCTAGTTTTTAGATGGGGGGTGGGGGCTCTCTATGAATTAGTTTAACTATTAGAGAGCTCTTCCTTAAACAGTTATACCTAAATACATATGAGCATGGTTTTCAGATGTAGTCTTGTTGACTGCTTCTGAAACCCATGCTCATTCCATGTTCTGTACAGTATTGTGCCTTTTTTCTTCACTTTCTTCTTTGTCTGGCCGCCAGACTCTGGCATGTATTTATTAGTTGATTGCTTTAGTTGATTGTCATGTATTTTGATTGTTTTAGTTAATTTAGGTAATTCAACTGCCTATATTTGTATTATGTATTTAGTTATAATTGTCAATGAAAACTGAAACTGAAACCTTTCTCACTCAGGAGAATGCAGTCTACAGCCCCACCTATTTGAGATTAAATAAAGTTTTTGTCAGATGTTTTCTATCAAATTGGAAGAATTTAAATGGTTATTCCAATTAAAAAACCAGGTTCTAACTATAATATTAGATTTTGCAACTAAAATATCACTTTGCATCAAAAAGGGAAATTATGTGAAGTTGATGCTATCAGATGTTTAATAAAATTGAACAAAGTCAATAATAGCACAAAAAGTGTGCACTGAAACATGGTGAAATAAGGTACCAAAATATCATCACATTAGAAAAAGTAAATGAATATCCATATTTTACTATAGCACAGGGGGCTCTTGCCATTCTGGTCCATTCTGATTGCAAGACAGCCCAACTTCTCCTGACACCCTCAAAAACTTATTCAATTTGTGCTTCTGTTAAGAACTGTTTCCAAACTAAGTTGACCCTGAGAAAAAAGGCATTTAAGCTCAAGAAAACATGCAAAGCAAATGTGACTTCCCTATTTGGCAAATGAACTAGAATTTCTATTTCCATGGAAATATATATCTCAACTAGAAAGAAATCCGATCTTTATTCAATGTTTGAAATGAATATGTCGCCCAGGGTGTAGCGCTTAACAAAGTATTTACTGTCTAAATTGAGTAAATATATATATATATAGTCACGTCACCCCTTATGGAACAATTTCAGAAAAAAATTTTTGGCACTTCCTAATAAATCAACATACTACAAGTACATCCTTTGTTGTATAATCTACACGCTTGTGTAAAGACAGTCTTATTGGTTTTTCTCTCTTTCTTTCTACACAAGCAACATTACAAGAAAGTGGCCACTTTCCTTCATGAAAAACTTGGGCAATCACCCCTTATGGAACGACGATAAAAAACCCCGGTGAATAAAAATTGTGCAAGCTATTTTTTAGGTATTCGTTTTTGAGATATCAAGAAACACGTTGTGGAGTTTTTGTTTTAGCCAAAAGACTGACTGAGGGAATGGTCAAGAAAGTTGAGGTGCAGGGAAAAAGTATATGACTCTATATCACAACATTGAAATGTAAATTTAACCTGGTTCATTTTTTATGCATGAACACCATCACCCATCATTTTTATATAGCCAGTGAAAATGGAATTCAAGCAAAAATAATAAACTGAAAATTATTTTTACAAAACCATACTATTCCCAAGTCTTTTTCTAGGTAATTAAATATTGAAGAAAAAATTCAACTTAACGAAACTAACGACATAACAACATATATATACCAAATTGACTCTGGAAAGATATTAATTAATTGATGGCAATCTAATTTCATGACAGTAGTAGCTACTTATGTTTATCCGGGTTTTCATGAAAGATATTTGACGCTCAAGAAATGCTTTGAATGCAATATTTCCTCTAAACATGCTCAAATGTTTTATGAAATATTGACAAAAGTGTCCTTGTCAAAGTGCCCATACTTCAAATCTTGCCAAAAATGCTAACACAGCTAAATTTGATTTATAATTGATAATAAAAAAGTACAGACGATGCATGTAGTTTTTTACAAAGATATAATAACTATATACCAAGTTAGGTATCCTTTTAACAAGTCAATAATTTTATCTCAATACTTTTCACTAAGCTTTCACTAAGTTTCACTTGATTATAACATTACAACAAGTTCTTGCAACCAAAGATATTATTTGGATCTACTTTTTCTTTAACTGCTCT